GCCCCGACAGGGCATATATAGCCCCGGCGTGGCCCGGCCGCTGCCGGCACGCCGCCCTCCCCTGCCCAGCGCCCCGGCGCCGGCCCCGCACGGGCACCCAGCTCCGGGGCGGCTGCTGCCAGGGAGGATGCCCCAGCCCCGCGCCCCACGGCCGCCCTGTGCTCGTTTCTCCCCTCTAAACACCGAATCTCCTGCTTTAAGCGTCACTCTGTGCCCGCCAACACCTGAGCACGCTGCCCTGAAGATGCCAGGATGCAAGACTTAGTGTCCTGAAATGCTTCAAGAGCTTTGGGGTTTTTCTCCAAGCGACGTGTAGTCGAAGCTGACACTTCCCAAACCACCCCAGTCCCTGAAAAGGGTCTTTTCCTGTCAGGGTGTCCCTGCTCACTGCATCCGCTAGCTCAGCCATCAGCTACTTTTTAGCCCGTTTAAGCTGAGCTGTGCTCATTCCACACCATCCCTGGTCCTGCCACCACCGCGCCACACGGTACCAAATCCCCCGCGGGGTTTCGGAGCGTTGCTGCCGTCTCTGACCAACAGCAGAAGCGTGTGTGTGTGGGGGGGGCTGTGGGGTCCCTGACTCGCTGGACACTGGTCCCTGCAGCCGCTCGGCCCATGGTGCTGTCTCCTGCACCCCACGGCCACCCCCCGCACGGGGAGGCACCTTGGGGGGACCTTCCCTGACTACCACCAAGCCCCCTATCCGCTGCTCCCCCTGTTGGCCTGCTCTGCTCCTGTTCATCATGCAAATACCTGCACGGTTTCCTCCCAGTCCTTTCCAGTCCCCCCAGCCCTCCGCAGCATCCAGCACCAGCGCTCCCAGGCCGGCTCTTCATCACTGGCAGCATAAATCCCCCCGGGGCCACGCGTTCAGAAAGCTCAGAGCCCTCCGCTTGCCAACATCTTCTGTTCCCCTCAAGTGTGAAATGTCAACCAGCAGCGGTGGGACCCGCTGCCCCCTCTGCTCTCCTGCCCAAAATCCCCAACAAAAAGCTTTTATTGATCCCATCTCCTCCTCCCGCGGTTTCCCGGCAGGGCCGGCTGCGGGTGCTGCTGCCCCGTTTCCCCACAGTCTGGTCTCTCACCTTGGCGCTGGGCAGCTTTTTGTGATTCAGGGCTTTCGATTTGCATTCCCTTTCATGTTTGTTAGACAGATTTCTATTTTAAGCGGCTTTCTCTTCCTCTCGGAGCCTGGGTGGGTTTTTAACGGCTCTGCCTCGCCTGTGGCTCCTGGGCATCACTCAGCAGGTCTCACCCGCCCCCCCCAGGTTCTGCTCCCGGCTCAGCTTTTCCCCCCCAGCTCCCCCCACCTTTGGAACTGGGCGTTGGAAAACCGAGCTCAGCGGGACCGAGCTCTGCTCCTGGCGGCCGCTCCGCGCTGCTTTGGCCGTTGCTCCGAGGACTCGGCAGCCCAGTGATTTTTCCTGAAACGGAGCCGTAAAAGGGCTGACAGCAGGGATCTGTCCTTGGGGGTTCAGGAGTCCCCCGGACACAAAATCTCTGCCCTCCCCACTGAGCATCCCCGCCGCCAGCTGCAGGCTCTTTGGAAAGCCCCTTGCTGCACTGACCGGCCTGGCACGGGGGACGCAGAGCTTGAACACAGCGAAGTGTTGCCCAAACCTCGCCCCGGTGCAGCCAGAGCTGACCCAGCTCAGCCCGGCAGGCCCAGGCACAGGGAGGGGGTTGTTCTGCCCCGGTTACCGCCACAGCCCGGGGTCCCCATGTCCACGTCCTGGTGCTGGGGCACGGAGAGCGAGCCGTGGTCACCGCGCCGGTGGTCGGCAGCAAGCGGATTTTAGCCCAGGCCACAGCGAGAGGCTGGGGGCAACTTGTGCCAAACACAGGTTTGCTGGGGGCTGCAGATGTGAGGGACAGGCGGTGCAGCCCCGCTGCGGCCAGGAGCAGCCCCCCCAGCTGCGGCTGCACGCGGGACGATGCTCCAGCTCAACCACCCCGTGGTTTCCCGGCAAAAGTTGTCCCGAAACAGAGCACAACCTGGGCACACGGGTTTTGCTGCCCGGCCCAGCGGCCTCCTTTGGCTGCTGCCCCACTGCTTGCCCTCCGACGGGCAGGCTCTGGGGGTGCCCTGGCAGGTGCCCAGCCCTCGGAGCCCCGCGCACCCCCAGCTCCGCCCCGGGATGTCTGGCGGAGGCGTCACCGGGAGCAGAGCTTGAAGGTATTTGGGTCCTCGCGATGTGGAAGCAGCCGGCTCTCTCCAGGTCCCTGCGCAGAGGCGGGAGGCTGCTGCACCGCTCGCCAAGTCTCAATCTGCATCTTCAGTCCCTCTAATGCCTTTGCAAACCTGCCTCGGGCTTTCTCGTGCCCCCAGCCCCCCCTTGTTGCGATGCTCCGTGGCCGCCATGTGCTCAACCTGCGGAAGAGCCGCCCCAGCTTTCAGGGAGAGCAAGCACTGCCGCGAGTGGAGACACGTCTTTCCTCCTACTTCCCAGACGCGCAGGTGAGAAAC